AGAAGTTGAGTGCACGTGCTCAGTGTCATATCCAGAGGTAGTCTTTGGGAAATAGACGTATGAGTGCTGCCAGCATTGATTGAAGTGGTGAGGGGACAGCAAACTTACACTGTTATACAAGCTGTACACTCACTACGTCACATTGTAGCAAAGTGTCATTTCTTCAGTGTTGTCACATGAAAAGATATAATAAAATATTTACAAAAAATGTGTACTCACGTCTGAGATACTGTACATAAACAGTAATCTTCCACCACTCTGAAAGATCAACGGTTTACAAAAACGTTTATCTTATGTAAGAATTATGATCCCATCAAATATTCCTTCAATGCGAGATTCTGAAGTTTAGTATCAAAACACAGACACGTTTATAAATAAACCTCCTGCATGCTGGGAAATAACTGTCATTGAAGAAAACAAGTCAGAGAGTGCTGCAAAAAAACATTTAACATACCATCTACACATTGCACCATGTGTGTTCCTGGAAACAAAAATCCAAAAAACACTTCTCACTCTAAAAAAAGGGAAATAAAAGAAGTAGAAGTATCCTAGAAACCAAAGTAGTGAAAAAAAAGCAGAGGAACAGTTCAGGAGGCTTTGGATTGCACAGTAGCCAAAATTAAAAAAAAAAAAATTACTTTGTTCAACTATATAGAATACGTGTCACTGGCCTTCAACATTCACATTTCTAATGAGGATTCCATTCTACAAACGTATTTTATCACTACAAATATTGTAGAAGGCGGCTCTTTCATTCATCTTCCTGTCATCCAATCCCAGAACACGTTTGCATTCTAAGAACACATATTACTGCTTCTATGAAAGGAGCACAGAGGAGCGGAAAGGGTGGGCATAGTTGTCACTCTTCACGAGTTGCCCGTCATAGACGCAGCTGCTGATATTAACCCGCACAGCACTGGATGATCACCACTGCAGGGGTATCCAGGAGCAGGGAGCTGAGGATTTCTACTGTAAATGGCATCCACCAGCAAACACTTCATTGCTGGTAAGTAGCGTCCCCGGCGCTCACTAGACTTCAGCTTGTATGTCTTTAAGGCACTTAACACCCAGCCATTGTGAAAAACAAAGATCATTCTCACTATCCTTCAAAATATAAACCAGATCCAATTTATTGGAGACAGAAAACCTGGGGCAGTGATCATGGCACCGATGTACGGGGGTACCATTAGAGTGGTTGTAACGGAAAAAAAAAGGAACAGGTGTTTTTTTTTTTTTCCTTTTCTTGACACCTGTACAGGTGTGAATGAACGGTTTAGGTTTACATTCAAATTGCATCAAAGTTTTAGTAAGTCTAATAAAGTTTAAAACACACATTACAATCTGATTGTACAACCTCCTTTAGTTCTACCAACAACTATGTGGTACCAGGGCCTGCCTGACTGGACTCTGATTAGATAGTTTAGGAAGGACCTCATATTACATAGTTTTTGTTGCACTGTACAGAGATTGTATTGCAGATTGTAATGTGTATGGTGACCTTAAAGTGTTACTAAACCCACAACAGTAAAATCAGTCTGTATATGCACTAAAGCATGCTTGTTATACTCACTGTGGAACCTAAGGGGTTAATCCTTCACATTGTGTAAAAATGCTTTTTGATCCTCACTTCTCTAATCCTCCCCTTCTTCCAGTGCCCCCTCTTATCTCCTGATAAGACACATCGTGTGGAGTCACTCTGCACATGCTCAGTTTGGTGTATATTGCTAGAGTTTATGTTTTCTTGGGAGAGTGCATGTGATCAGCACAGGGCCAAGCAGCACTGTCCACACAGAGGTCAGGGGCTCTGCATCCTGCTAGAGCAGAATGAAAACTCATCCTACAAGCTTTAACCAGTGCTCTGCTGGACACTGATAAAAGCCACAACTGCTCTAACTGCTGATGAGAAAAGGTATTTAGCAGTTTATATTTACTGAAATAATTGCATTTCCATGTTGTGCGTACTGGGGGAGAGCAGAGTGAATGCAGGGTTCGGGGAGACCAGATATAGTGAATGCAGGGTCCTGGGTTTAGTAACACTTTAAGGATCTGTTCACATGTGTGGATAACACAGCTGCACCTCTGAAAAAGTGATCTGTGGTGAGGTACTCTTCAGAGGGCATTTTTCAGGAGGCTTAATGTCCCTTTGCACTCTGCCTGCTTTAACGCTCAAAATGCTGATGACCCATAACTACATGCACTGCGCTCTGTAGGACGACTGTCATATGACCCCATAAAAATTGAATGGGTCACGTTCGGCAATAAAATCACCACTGAAAGGTAACATGCTGTTTGATTTTTGCATGTACGGAGCCCTGAGCGGCTGCATGCCCTTGTTCACAACGGGTGGTGGTAAAACTGTGGCTCACCTGTTGATTCTACCAGCCACTCATGTGATCAAGCCTTCTAGGTTCACACTATTGCGGGTCCTGCGTTCATTTGAATGGATTGCTCTAGCTGCGGGAAATGCAGAGAAAAAGTCCCCGAACATTTTTTTGTGTGTTTTCTGATGTGTGTCTGCAAAAGAGCAGAGCGTCTTGCCTGTGACTAATCACGTGTTCCCCGACCCACATACGTGTTCCAAGGCTAAGGAGTGGCTCACAGCAGCACGCCACAATTGTGGGCACATCTTTTTGCATGTTTCCACGTGGTAGATTTTTGACAGATCATGGGCTGCCACGCTAGTAGAAAGTACAGCGGGCGCAACTTTTAAAAATGCGCCACACCAAACCACATGGCACTGCGGTAACCGTGCGATTTGGTGGCCATAAAACCTGACAGTTTTCTAGATGTATTGGAAATGCTATTAACAATGAATGGCATTTGTGCGCATCGAAAAAGGGCAGTGCGTTCAAGTGCAGTGCGAGGAACGTACGTTTCCTGCACCACAAGTGGTGTGAACGGGCCTTTAAAGAGATTGTACAATCACGTTGTATAGTGTATGTATATATATTGTGTGTACATAGATTAGGGTTGCCACCTCATTCCTTTAAAACCGAACCAGGGGCGGACTGACAACTCATGGGGCCCCCGGGCAATAGGGGATCATGGGGCCCCTGTGTCCTTGCCCAAGCTCAAAAAAGCCTATGAAAAAGGTAGCAGGGACATCTCATGGGGCCCCCTACTGACCCTGGGCCCTCGGGCACTGCCCGAGTTGCCAAATGGTCAGTCCGCCCCTGAACCGAACACATAAAAACTACACAAGTTCTGTGGTTGATTAAAGGTAGAAATTAACCGCTTCTACGCAGCCCTATGGCAGAAATACTGCTACAGGTGAGCAAGGGTGCGCAAAATCACGTATATATATACACACACACACACACGATTTTACAGTTCCAGGTAGGGGGCTCCCACGTGCCCTACCAGCGCTGCCATTCGCGGCCTCGGCTGTCAATCACCGGTTCCCGGCCAGCGATTCCCCGCTGGTACCCAGCGATCCCTGAGGATTTCTGACGGGGGAGAGACCTGTATGTAAACAACACAGATCTCTCCCGTCAGCTCTAGCACATTGCTTACAGTAAAACAGCACACAGTTAACCCTTTGATCGCCCCATGTTAACCTCTTCCTGCCCAGTGCCATTAGCACTGATCACTGTATTGGTGTCACTGGGGATGTCAGTGACATCAAGTCAGTTCCCCCCCAGTGTAAGAATGTCCGCTGCAGTCCCGCTATAAGTCACTGATCGCCGCCATTACTAGTATAAAAAAAATCCCATTATCTACACCGCCATTTGTAGACGCTATAACTTTCATGTAAACCAATTAATTTACACGTATTGGGATTTTTTTTTTTAGCAGTCATGTCGCAGAATACATTTTGCCCTAAATTTATGAAATTTGATTTTTAAATGTTTTTTTTATTGTACGTTTAATAACAAAAAGTCAAAAATATTGTTTTTTTTTCTCAAAATTGACAGGTTTTTTTTTTCATAGCGCAAAATTAAAAATGCACAGGTGATCAATTAACACTGAAGGAAAGCCCAATTCATGGGAAAAAAGGACGTAAAATTTCATTTGGGTGCAGCGTTGCATGACCGCGCAATTGTCAGCTAAAGTAACGCAGCTCCGTAACACAAGAACAATGGCCTGGTCAGGAAGGGGGAAACCCTCTGGAAGGCAAGGGGTTAATATGTTTGGTTTTACAGCGATGAGGCGGCAACACAGATCTCCATAGACGATGTAAGGACGGTCAGCCAACCGCTCACCACAGAAAACACACAACACGGACAGGAGAACCCGGTGATGAGCACACATTTCTCTCACACATCAGCAGAGGCCGCCCAGTATAATGTATACAGAGTCCCGGGCCTGTGCTGGCTGCGGTCACCTCACACATTACCTTCTCCCGGCTCAGCCCGGTGATAGTGAGCTAAGCGCCGAGCTCACCTACATGACAACCAACACCTCTTCCTGCGTCCCCTCTGTGACATTCCGCCCGGACACGCCCTCTATTCACCAGTCTGCCCAATCACAAGATGGCGGCTCAGCCTCCACAAACATTCCTCCTCGGCCATGCAAAGGATGTGGCCTTCTTAGCTCCTACTCACCAATCACAACATGGTATGCCGATGGCAGGGGCGTGACTGATACGCAACCTATCACAGACTTCCCCGGCTGAATGTTGGCTCATTTCTGTTTTAGCGCAAGTATTGCGCCTCCTGCTGGTGACATGCTACAATGCGCTATGAGCCCTCCGTCCTGTTATCAAGTGTTTCCTGAGCCAGAGGACTACATTTCCCAGGAGACATCGCGGTCCAGGAGAGCAGGAAGTGGACTCCTCTCTCAAGATTCATGTCATTATTGATGCGGAGGCTTCATTCACGTTAGGGCGTGCGGAATTGCCGCGATTCTGTCCGCGATTTCAAAACGCGTTTTTTTTCCTGACCGACGATCGATGGTTCTGGAACCATTTTTCGGCATTTGACATCCCGCGATTTTGTTTGCACGACCATGGTGTCTTTGTCATGCAGAAAAATGTGCTGCAATAGCAGCAAAAATGCCCCGCGGTTTCAGGTGCCATTGAAATGAATGTCATCTCCAATCGCAATCACGTGTTTTCACTTTGGCACACCGCGCTCAAATTGTGGGCATAATTGCGGCGATTCCACCTGTAATTTGAAATGCCCTAAATACTTTGATTCGTGGCTAAAACGCATGTGCGTTTTTTTTTTATCCCTGCATTTTTACGTGCGGACCGCGTTTTGTGCAGGCACGAGAGCCCATTCATTTGAATGGACTCCCATGCCTGTGACACGCAGGGAAGAAGTCCCTGCACTTTGGAAAACGCAGACCGCACAGGAACCTCGGTTCCTAGTATGGTTGCAGTTTCCAGTGCAGGTGGCGTCCGCATTTCTCTGTGTGTGATGCAGCTGCACGGATTTTCGTGCGGATCCACAGCGGCACCACCCACACAGATGTGATCCTAGCCTTAAAGTGTCTGGTCGCACCAGTGCAATTTCAAGTGCAATTTTGGAATTGAAATTGCACTTGAAATCACAACTAGTGAATGTCAGACCCTGATCGCAGTGGATGTGACTTGGCATGTAATTTGTATGCCATACAACTTGCACATCGCATGCCAAGTCACACCCTATCGTCCAAAATTAGAGCGGTCATAGCTCCTAGTATTCCCCCCAGCCCGTGCCCCCCCCTGACTTTTTCCATCAAGATCAACAACACAATCATCAGTCCCCTCAAGCCAGTGTACTAGGTGTCATCCTAGACTCCAATCTGTCCTATCAGGTCCAATCACTGACAAACTCATGTAGACTTCACCTCCGCAACATATCCAAGATTCACCCGTTCCTGACCTCGGAAACCACTAAGCAACTTATTCACTCCCTTGTTATCTCTCGCCTCGACTATTGTAACTCCCTCCTCACTGGCCAACCTCATCGCAGGCTATCCCCACTCCAGTCCATCATGAATGCTGCTGCCAGACTCATCCACCTTACTAACCGTTCTGCATCTGCCACCCCCTCTCTGCCAATCCCTCCACTGGCTTCCAATCGCCCAATGGATAAAATTCAAACATTAATAATAACGTATAAAGCCGTTCATAACACTGCCCCAAATTACATCACCGACCTTGTCTCCAAATATCACCCAAACCATACTCTCTGCTCCTCACAAGACCTCCCACTCTCTAGCTCCCTTGTCTCCTCTTCCCATGCCCTCCCTCATCTCCAGGACTTCTCCAGGGCTTCCCCCATCCTCTGGAACTCCCTACCCCTATCTATCAGACTATCGCCTGCTCTGCTCACTTTTAGGCGCACTCTGAAAACCTATCTCTTCAGGGAAGCCTATCCTACCCTCAGCTAATACTGGAATCTTCTACTCTTCCAACCAGTCCATCCCCCACAGTTATTACCTTTTGTACCACTACCCCTCCCTCCTAGATTGTAAGCTCCAAGGAGCAGGGCCCTCAAATCCCTCTTGTATTGAACTGTATTGTTACTGTACTGTCTCCCACCATATTGTAAAGCACTGAGCAAACTGTTGGCGCTATATAAATCCTGTATAATAATAATATCGGTGCGGTTCCAACTTGGTCAGAGCCGCACCTATTTCTAAAGTAGTGCATGTACTACTTCAGGTGTGACTTGCATAGACATCTAGGCAGATGTGTTTCAAGTTGCATTGGAATGACATTCGACTTTGAAATCGTGTGACTTCACTGTAAGGATTGGTGTGACCGGGGGTCAGTATCTTAACACGGATTTGGTGCAGTGCAATTTCTAAAGTAGTTCTTGCATTACTTTTTCTGCAGTTTTTTTGCGATTTCACATGCATAGAATGTAATGGAAACCTCACTGCAAATTGCAAGAAATCGTTGAAAAGAAAAAAAAAAAGCAGTAGATTAATGGAGGAGCCATGGGGACACCTTTGGAGAGGAGCATTGTCAATCTGTGCAGAGGGTAGTGTTAGATGCACTAGCAGTTTTAGATGGACTTGGCTAACAAATTAAAGCTAAACTCCAGATAACATTTCTTAAAGGATTAGTCCACTTTACAAAAAATCTGCCTATGCAGATAAGGCGCACCTGTAGATAAAGAAAAAAAGCTTTGGTTGTGACCAAACTTGGATAATAGCTTTGCTATTGTTGTATATGATTTATGTACCTCCTGAAGCCTGGCTGCTAAGCTACCAGATATGACATCATCCCATCCTGCCTTTATGTAAAGATGTTGGTAAGATGCTCCCAACTGTTACTGCTCACCACCCCCACCATCACAAGGAGCGAGCTCTCACAGCCCCCCCCCTTACATGTTCAGTCCACTATCTCCTCCTTCGCAGCATTATTGAACTCAGAGCTACCAGACAGGAGAGAGAGAGTGCATGCGAGAGGGTTTGAATCAGCTGGGAGTGTCTTAGCAACATCCTAGCAATGATGCAGGACAGGATGATGCCAGGATTCAGAAGGTACGTAAATACCCTCCGCTTATAGGGTATTATTTAAGTGCCAAAGCACAATTATAGTGGCAATGCTAGCCCTAGACTGACTGGATATGCGTTGTGCAAAAGAAAAGGAGGATGGTAGCGGAGGGGCAAGGGAAAAAAGGGGGCTTGCAGAATAATTATTACGAGAGGGGAAAGCCTTTGATATGGTCCTCTGCCAGCTATCATTGGGGCCCTTTAAGAGCGTTGGTGCACTTAATGTTAGTTCAAGATAACCTGCATGCAATATAAGATTGGTATAGTCCTCGCTTCGGCAGGACATATACTAAAATTGGAATGATACAAAGAAGGTTAGCATGGCCCCTGCACAAGGATGACACAAATTTGTGAAGTGTTCAAAAAAAACATGTGATTCAGATACAGTAAAGGCTCAGTACAGTGCAGTACAGGTTGGTACAGGCTAGGTTTGATATAAGTGCAGTATGGGTCGGGTACACTTGGCGGCCTGCTATCAGTGGCTCAGTCTCTGCTAGTAGTATCAGCAATGGGCAAATAGCCCTCTCACCAGTCCCTGGGTTGAGAGAGAGATAGATAAATAGATATACAGTGAGAGAGACGGGGTGCTCTTGCTCTAATTCCCTCCAAGAGGAAGAACTTTTCTGTGCAGTTTAAAAAAGAAATCATCACTCCACTCCTCCTACTGCACAGTGCATTTAGGGATGTGGAATTTAAAGAGTCTAGTCATCCTATTATATGGCTGCCTTCTTAACCATTTCAAGTTCGGAAACTTTTACCCCCTTACATCCAGGCCGATTTTCAGCTTTCAGCGCTGTCACACTTTGAATGACAATTGTGCGGTCATGCAACACTGTACCCATATGACTTATTTAGCATTTTTTTGAGACAAATAAAACTTTATTTTGATGGTTTTTATTTACCACTGAGATTTTTTTTCTTTTGCTATATAAATGAAAAAGTTAAAAAATTTTGAAAAAAATTGTTTTCCTTATAAAATTTTGCAAATAATCTTTCTTCATAAATATTGGCCAGAATGTATTCAGTTATCTTTATAGTAAAAAAAATAACCCAAATTAGTTTATAACCAAAAATTATAATTTTTCAAAATTTTTTTTACATTTTTATTATTTTTTTATATTTTGTTTTTGGTTACTGTGTACTACCTGTGGGGGTGATGAAGATTTTTTTTTTGTTTTTACACTGATTGCTTTTATACCCATAAAGGCTGTAAAAGCAATCATTTCTCTTTCTCTCTGGCTGCATTCTTGCAGCCATTGAAAAACACTGTGAGAGCTGTGATTGGTCACAGCTTGTCACATGGTACAAGGCTGTTGTGAATAGCCTTGTACCATGTGACCTCTGTGATCATTCACAGATTTCACAAGTAGTAAGTAATGATGTCAGAAGTGACATCTTGCTTACTACTATTCATGTGATCACTGATTGGCCAATCAGTGATCACATGATCAGGACCTTACACAGAGGTCCCGTACAGCGATCGGTGTTGCTTCGGACACAGCGGGCACCGGATCGCGGTGCTGCACGCTCCCAGGGAGTGCGCACAGGCTAAATTGGCCAGTGCTGTTTATGAATGGCAGCCCGCCCCTTCACTGCTCCCTTCCGGCATGGGCATATACATGGGCCGGATGGGAAGTGGTTAAACTACATCTCCCATCACTACATCTGCTTGGCTTTAGATCTCCCCCTGCTGGCCGGAAAAGAATGATGCAGCATAACACCAGTTTCTCAGTAGAGGGAGAGGAGAAAATAATGGCAGTGTCTCCATCTCCATATTGCTGTAGCCCACCAGCTGGCTACACACCCAGTGTGCTGGTGACTTGCTTGATAATCCCTATCATTGACTGCACAGCAGCACATAAATCTGTAGGTATACAATAGCAGTATAAGAATTTGAACTTGTTCTAAGTGTACTTCCATCTGTGATAATGGAGGAGAACACATGGCGGCTATTTCTCAATGCCACCTAATATGATAATGTGTTGTAAATCAGCTCCAACCAAATTATAAGTGATCATTTGGTTTCTTGAAATACTATTGGACCTTATTTACACAGGCACCAGGAATAGTAAAAACAGGTGGTTGAGCCTCTGGTTAACATTCCTGAACAACAACCTAAAACATAGCAAGCAGCCACAAAGGATCATACACACACGCAGAGGAAAATTTAACTCGGCAGGCTGAGTTTGACAGGCAGCACCCTCTGTCAAACTTGCCCATAGGTGCCAATGGGACCACATCACAACCCCCAAGCCAAATGCTTGGCTGACATTGCAGGGTGTGCTTCAATGCCAAATCCCTCTTAGCTTGAAAAAATCAGTCCCAAAACATTTAGAAGGCGTCAGTTTTGCCTCCTGAACACTGTGAAGCCTCTGCTCTACCACTGTTTGAAAAACGATCTGCCACAGATTGCTTTTCAGTGGGCATTAGAGATTGTCACAGATGCAATAGGGGTCGTATGGTTACTTACCCTAGACTCTTTCAACTCTGAGTTGCTTGGCAGAGTAGAACACCTATTATCCCAGTTTAGTTCCACTTCAAAGGGAATGTAGAGAATTTTCACTGTTTTTAAGATACACATTAAAAAAAAATCAGCAACAGAAAAATATTTGTATTAATAATTAGGTGCAAGGGGCGGTCATATTCAGTTCACACAGGCTCTGCTTCCTGCAAACATTTATTATATTATTATATTTCATCTTTCCAATAAGTAGATGTGGTGGCTCCATTAGTTTTCTTTTTTAGGCTTTCTTTTTTCTATTTTCATCTGGTGATCCAGCCAGCAAGTCTGTTGTTTTTTTTTTAAAAAAACACAAGCCCTTCAGCAGAATGTATCAGTTTACATGGATGAAACAAACCATTTACCACCGGGCAGTGGTAATTAAATTGATTAGATGTTATTTATTCATGTAAAACCTTTATCCCCCAAAAACCTCTTTGCTGCAACTGATTATATAGTGTGACCTGAAGTTTGGGCTCAATTTGTTAGTGCATTTAAATCTGCTAATACAGTTAACACTGCCCTCCCCCCAGACTGACAATGCTGCGGTCTTGTGTGCCTCAAGTGCTCCTTCATCCAGAGTTGTTTTGCTAATACAGGAAGTGTGATACTGGCCAGATCACCAGGTGAAAGGGAAAGAATGCAAAATTAAAGAAAACTAATGCAGCCAACACATTTAATAATTGGTAAGCTGCAAAATAATTTTTTTGTGTTGGATTTAATACTGCTTTTATGTAAATCTGTGCCTTGTTTGTAGATTGCATATCAGTTTTTTTTTAATGTGAGAAAGATTTGTAAAAATAGCATTTTAACTATTTACAGCCGGTACCGGGGGTGGACTGACCATTTGGAAACTCGGGCACTGCCCGAGGGCCTGGGGTCAGTAGGGGGCCCCATGAGATGCCCCTGGTACCTTTTTCATAGGCTTTTTTGAGTTTGGGCAAGGACACAGGGGCCCCATGATCCCCTATTGCCCGGGGGCCCCATGAGTTGTCAGTCCGTCCCTGGCCGGTACAAATCTCAGCACATCTTACTTCCAAAATATGATGCAAAACTTTTCTCAGTACAGTAGCTTTTAGTATTTGCACCCTTTCTGCCATCTAGTGGTTGGATTATGCATTTTTCTTTTTCTTTATGGTAGCCATGCATACAAAATTGCAATTTTTCCATAATGTTCAGAACTACATCCTTTATTCTGGAATTAAAGAGAAACTTCACTCCCTTTCCATTTTTTTCTCCTTTTACCTGTTTTGCTGAGTTACAAACTGCTCCACTGCTGCACACCCAGATCTGTGCCACCCTCTTCTGTCTCTTCTGTGATATAATCAGGATTCAGCTGTTTCTACTGGGTTCTTTTAGCTGGCATTTTGACAGTGGCGTAACAAGAACCTTCAGAGCCCCGGTGCAAGAAACCATGACCCCTGGCCTGGAGGGTAGTTCCGCCACTGGTGTCAGTAGTTTTTTTATTTTTGTTTTATTTTTTTACAATTTTTAAATTGTTTGTACAATCCTTTTTTTTTTTTTTTATAGGATCCCCATTTGGTGAAATATCAGGGGTCTAAGCAGACCTTTATTGTTCCAACTTTGAGGCAGAGAAAGGAGATTGAGGGCATAGTTCTCAATCTCCATATCTGCAGCCTCAGCTGCACAGACTGAAGACAGGAACAGCCCTGTACAGAGCTTCCTGTCCATTCATAAACTGAAGCATAGTAAACACAGTTTACTGTGCCTCAGGTATGAATGAACAGAGTCAGTGATCGGTACAGATCACTGACTGAATTCATTAAGGCAAGGAAGGGGCCGATAAATGACACATTTACCAGCCCCTTCCCCATTCTCCATTCTGACAGCATCCCCTGCAGCAGTTGATCAGGCAGAGCTGCAGGGGACAAGAGGGGTGCCAAGAGACAGCACAGACGGGTTGGAAAAGAACACAGGGCAGCAGGAGAGCACACAGGTGTGCAGCAGACAAATTGGATAGGAGCGGTGGGGGCAGCTGCATACAGAGGAATCAATATCTCCATTTTCCTCCTGCAGCCACTCAATGCCCACTTCTCCTTCACTCTCTCCTGCAGGCATCCACTATGCTCCAGGGGGCCCATGCTGCCCCCTTGTACACCTGGATAAGAGGCGCGGCGAAGGTGGCTGCATACAGAGGAACTGATTTCTCCATTTTCATCCTGCACCCCACTTCTCCTTCTCTCCCTCCTGCAGGCATTCAGTGACTACAGGTGGAAAATGAAGAGATCAGTTCCTATGTATGTAGCCACTCTCGCCGCTCCTCTTTTCCAGGTGTACAAGGGGGCCACACGGGCCCCCTAGAGCATGGGGCCTGGTCACACCTCTGACCCCTGTAGATACACCCCTGCATTCTGATAATGCAACTGCACCGTGTTATCTTATATGGGGCTCAGCTGCAACTAGGAAGAGACAGCCGGCCCACTGAGGACGTGCTGTAGCGTGCTCTGCAAAGTACCCCAAGGCCTCCTGAGCTGCGTGACATGAGTATTCCACAAGGCTGTAGGCAACTGAATATGACATTCTCACCTAGACAAAAATCTGGGTAGCAGGAGGTGGTGACAGCACGCATCAGTCACATAAAAGTGATCGGGTGGCTCCAGTCGCCCAGATTACTTTTACAGTAAAGCGGTTCCTCACCCTGTTTGAAAAACATTAAAAGTCAGCAACATAAATACCGTAGCTGCTGACTTTTAATAAAAGGACACTAACCTGTCCAGGGGTCCAGCACTGTCCTCACCCGGATCGGTTCTTCGCCAGTCTTCGGGTCTCCAGAGCCATCTTGCTTACTGTGGGCAGCCAGCTGTGATTTCATGCGGCTTCATTTCTGGCTGCCCAGTGCTCATGAGCGAGCCACGCTGCACTTTGTGGATGGTCCTGCAGCCTTCTGGGACCTCAGAAGGTTTCAGGCAGGGAGGTAGGGGCGAGGAGAACCTGTTCACTCTATGGACATAACAAGCACAGGACCCCAGAAGTAAGTGGGGATCACTGAAGTAGTGATGTCTACTTCAGATATTTCCAGTTTCCAGGGGCACCAGCCAGCTATGGTATATACATGGTTTCATTTGTCCAAGCTGGACCATGTAACTATGTGTATACAAAATCCATACCTGTAAATTGTTTTTCAAAGTATAATTAAAAGTAAAACATTTGTTTTTATCATTGGATAGAGTGGTGAAGGATAAATGCCATCAGGTTTTGTATTGCTGTTTGTATCCCTGTTAGGTCACCAGGACTGAAAGTGAAGGTATGTCCTGGAGCGGGAATGAAGGGGAAATCTTCCCGCTGGGACACTTGTTCTTGTGACAGCTGTCTAAGAGGTGATTTTCCTCACATGGGAAAGATTTCCCTTCACTTTCTGTTGAATGTACAGGACAGGAGTGGAGGGAAATGTTACTAACTAGAAAAGCTACAATTTCTGGGGAAATTGTGTGAAGTGTTCTTGCCTCCATCAGTAGTCTACAACTGAAGTAGACGGAGTAACTGGGTGGAGTGACTTGTCACTCTGCTGGCTGCTCACACACCTGGGTTCCTATAGCAACTCACTCTACAGCAAAGGCAGAGAAGAGCGGTTAAAAACAAACTGCTCCAACTTGCTCACTTCACTGGCAGTTGACATCTTCAACAGTTGTAGTTTAAAAAGTATAAATCCTACACAGAAGAGCTTTATATTGTGAGAATCACAAGACCCATACCTACATTGTGATGCATAGTATGTCTCTGAAATATTAAAAATGAAGGCACAGTTGCAGTTTAGAAATTGCCCTTCAAATTTGAGGTGGCTAGAGTGGAGTTTCAATGAATGTCAATGGGCGTCATGAGTTGCAAACAAATGGTCATATTGTGAAAACTATCAGAACTATGGCTTAGCCATAGTACATTTTTAGTGGCAGCGGGGATAGCTGAACATTTTGATATAAGATTTGTGTAGGTGGGCTTGAAAATGAGAGAGTGGTGGCAGTTTAGAAATCATCATGTTCTGATTTTTCAGCTCACACTCTAGCTTTTGTCAGCTCCCACTCAAGTTTTGAACATTCCGCCATTCATTCCTATGGGACCGACTTCACCACAAAAACGCCGATATTTCGTGAACCATTTGGCGAAACGTTCCACAAAGTAATAGCACACCAATCGGAACAATCCGCACGTTCGGTATATTACTGTCTATGTAGTGTAACAACTGTGGGAGGAGTTAGGGTGGTAAATTTGGCTATAATAATAAGAATATATATGTGAGATAACAGTAAGTGGTCTTGCCATGCAAGACTACTTAATGAGACACAAGAGATAGCCAAAATAATTATGGCAGTTTTAATCCTCCCCTAATTGGAAACATTTATTTCAATTTCAGATTCGAGTTTACACTGTAAAGAATTTTATTTTGAGAACAATAGCGTGGGAAATGTTACTTTCAGCATGTTTCGGTTACACACATCAACCTTGACTGAAACATATTGCTCTCTGGAGATAAAGCACTTTCATCATCTGAAATGTTCACATCGCCTTACATGCTGTAGAGCAAGGATTGCCTAAAGTAAGAAAAATAAAAAAATTAACAGATGAGACATGCAAAGTTTTTTTTTGCCATAAAAATGTTTCTCCTGGCTCCAAACTATTTTGTCATGCTCTGGGTCAGGGTTTCTCAATGGGAGATCTGCAAAGAGTCTCCAGGGGTCCTACTGAAATTTACACTTGGCCCCCAAAAAGTGCCTTTACAGTAATTTCCTTGAATGTGAGCTGTATCACTGGGAATGTTTATATCATCCTGATGATACTTTCCATGTTCTGGCTAATGACGTCATGTAACAGACCATCGCAGGTTCAGAGGTCCACAGTTTCAGAGAAGTGGTTAACCCAGCAATGTGGGACAGCAGAACTACCTTAATTATGTTGAAGAAAAGTTTCCTAATGCCTACACAATTGACCCCGCCATCTTGTCTTCTAAGACAGCCCCAGCAGTCATAGACCTGCCAGTCCAATAATGCAGTGGCAGGATCCTGCATGTGTATAGTAAGATCCCAGTTGAGTGCACATTGTTTATTTACCGGAGGCTTGCAGCATTCATTAGGATCTGCATGGAGAGTTTTCCAAACATGCAGTGATGCATTCTTCCACAGACAGCCTCTGACAAAGCAAAGAGCGCAAAGCTGTGCTGGAAGCAAACCTAAAGCAGTGACATGGGGACGGGGACAAGTGCAAGTGAAGTGAGCATGTACATTCTGACCCTTCTAGGACATGTGAATTTGACCTGCAATGGAATGAAGGCTGTAGTTTCTAACATTTTCAGGCATTTTGTTTTCAGTGTCATTCAACTCACTTCCTATGGTGTCAAAGCTCTGCCTCGCCCTAAATACACAAGAGAAAGCTGCAGAGAATTGTGGCACATTCTACAGCATTACTATTCATCCACTTCCAGAAGAAGAGTTTGAAATGAACCCACAATGTCATCGGACCTGGTTCAAGACACCTAGAAAAAAGTAATTTTGCTCCAAAGGCTAGTGGAGATCATGAATCCCAAATTTGGTTTTGATTACAAATGATTTATAATGTGCATAGCCAAATAGTAAAACAGACTGCTATAACACAATAAATAAAACATTCAGACAAGGACAATATTTTACAGTTTTTATCTAAGTACAAGAATGGGAAAAATTTGTGATCTTAGCAACTTTTGTGGTATAATTATTGGGGCTAGTCATGATGGTTGAGTGGTAAGAATGGGCATGGATTGCAGGACATTGGAGAGGAGGATCTACAGCAACAGAAGTCTATTCTGGGTTCCACCTTTGTCAGCTATAAACAGTAAACTGAGGCTTAGGCCGTTTTCACACGAGCAGACCGATTGGGTCCACCTGTCTATTTTTCAGGCGGACCTGGTTGGATCCAGGGGCGGACTGACAACTCATGGAACCCCCCCCGGGCAATAAGGGATCATGGGGCCCCTGTGTCCTTGCCCACACTCAAAGCACACCCAAAAAAGCCT